GATGGAGATTTGAATATCGAATCAATTTATGTAAATTTGTTTTTATTGAATATTTTGATGTAAGTGTGTTGTCTTCTTCAACACTGCGTTGTATCTGAAAAAAAGTCAACGTCATTGGGGATTCTTAAGACAGACTGCACTGGAAAGCCGTGCACGGAAGACAGCTCACAGACTAATTTCAGTTCACTGGTCAGTGACTTCGTTGATTGTTTTGGCCACCGCTAGCCTTCTTTCAGCCTACCTCGACATCCGAAAGCATTGCTCGTCGAAGTAATCGATGGTTCAGCATGCGTAACACATGTTCCAACCACCTCAACTGATGCATATTCACCATTTCATCAATTAGTATGCCTGCGTACTGCTGAGGAGTCCCATGCCAGGAAGAAACGGCCGTCCAGTGCTTCCAGGTTTCTACTGGTGGTCTAACATTGATCGATTCATGGTTTCAAAAATGTGTAACTTAACAATCTTCACAACCCCGTAATGCAAATTAGTATGCCATCATTACTTAGTAGTACACTTTTCCTAACTTTTCATAATTCTCAATTGATTTTGTTCTATTTTTGTTTTGTAGGAGTTTGTTTACAATGGTCTATAACCTATCCAAATGGATCATTTGAACCAGCTATTTCATATGAAATTTATAGTTATGCTTCATCAGAAGTTAATCTAGTCACTGTTCAAACATCATTACCATGGAAAAAGGTGTGTAGTTGTTATGTATTCATGATAATAATAATAATAATAATGATTAAATGAAAAGGAATCTCAGTGTGATTATTACTACTCTGACTGGTTGTATATATGAATTACTAACTATTATTATCATCATCATTATACACTGCTGTGTTTATCTATCTTTGAGTAATTCTAGCATATCTCTATGTGTTTTTTTCTCTTTTGTTTATTTTGTATTTGTGTTTGATTTGTTATACAAATGACTATCTATTTCTTAATTCAGATTAATTCAAAAGAGTAAGAAAGTGTGAGAAAAGCTTTTAACATGAAATTTATGTGATTGTAATGTGATATAAAGTTCTGTTAATTTCTATTTCGTTATAGGGGGGATCTATGTGATAAGTGTCATGGAAGTATGTTGTTTGTCAGGAAATATTTGAACAATGATGTATGATGATGATGTACTCTGTGCTATTGAAATGGATCAAACTGTATTCTAGATGAAGAAATGTAGGACGATGTATATTGAATTTCAACCAAAATCTTTCTGGAACAACAATAATAGTGAATAGGATGTGAGAATTTTAGAAATGTCATGTTTTTTAAGCTTTCATTATCTATCTAGACAGCATACATTACCAGCCAGTAGAAAAAGGAAGTGGACTATTTTAAATATCCCTCCACTATTCAATGTGTTCAATAATATTGAGCGCTTAATTGCGTTGATGTTACGTTCAAGGCATCATACTATACTTAATTATTATTATTATTACTGGTGGTCAGTTGTTCAAAAAAATACATATATCTGTGTATTTATTACCATAATTCCGTAAATGTATCATGTAGTCCACTGTTCTTTTTTTCTGCATATCTTTAGGTTGGTGAAGTGGCTGCTCTTCCTTTACCTATGGCATGTACATTAACTCATGTTCAAGCGAATAATATGTATTATTTTATTGTTAGATCAGTGGATCGATTGCGTCGATATAGTTCATGGTCAAATGTTGTCAATGCATATGTTAGTTGAAATATTGCAACCAAGAGAAGAAAAACTGTTTTGTCAACTAAGCATCTTATTTGGTGTCTTTTCTTGAATCACTTCTTTATCATTGAGGATAGATGTGTTTTGCTTTTTTTTATTGAAAAAAAAACACTGCTGCATTTATCCAGTAACAAATAGGTCTGTACAGTTTTTATTCATGTCAACAAGAAGTGTGTGTATGTGTATACAGATATATATGTAAAGTTTCTTTTCTTTTTATTCAGGGACTTTAGCCCTAAATTGATTTTTCATCAATTGTATATTTTAATATTTTGTAATCTAGATTATATATATAGATATGTATCAAACTCGGAAAGAGTATGCCCTTTTTTTATTGGCGCTAGAGATATTAGCCTTGAAAATGCCATTCCACACTGTTCAATGCTCCAATGTACACAATTGGATTTTTTGTTTCTCATTTCGGGGGTTTTAATGGTGGTTTCTTACTGTTATTATTCACATAGTTAACACTCGTGTCTGTGTTTAGTTTGGGGCTGGTTTTCTCTGCCGTCCCTGAACGTCACTTCTCAGTACGGTGCACACAGTGTCATACATTTTTTGACGGTCAAATTCATATTCACTGCATGTGAATTGCTGTTTTCCAACTGTAAGGTATTGGTATTCTTATGTATGGCCGGGGATTCTTGCTAAAAAGAACTGGTTTCCTATGGTTCAGCAAAACTATTTCTGAAACATTAGTATTATAAGTTACTGCAACTGAATTTTGATTGGTAAAGTTTTTGCATCATTCGTGGTTTATGACTTTTGTTTGGCCATCAAACTTCTTTTGATAGTTCCAAAGCTATCTCATTGTATGCAACCTAGTTTGTCAAGCGAAACTAATGTGATTCTGTATCCCAACTAAAGTTAGCCAAGCAGCTGAAAAAGAGCCTATGGTATATGTATTACGTGGCCAGTTGAGAAGTTTCAGGGATCTTGGTAATTGAACGGATTGATAAAACCGCCAAGCATACAGCCATTGGTAGGTTATATCTTAGACACTACGAGATATATTACCAATAGTAAAGTTGAAACTGGAGGTTTCCAAGCCGAGATGATTGGTGTGCATGTTCGTGGGGGGGGGACATTTATTGCGTTTTTACTTTAACAATTTGCGTCATTTGCAGTTAGAAAACTTACTTTCAGGGTTGATGCATGCTACTCATTCAAGAAATTTGAGAAAGATTTCTTAACACTACAAAGTTTAAAATGTAGCCAGTTCTTAATTACCAAGCAATCTCCTTATGGTATTATGATGAGCGGGTATGTTGTTCCTTAGAAGACAATTCCAATAACGCACTGAGTTGTGAGGAACTGATTGTTGATTTTCCTGTGTGAGATATAACTACAAGCACTTACTATAATCCTTTGGTAAGCCTTGTCATTAACCATACCTGTTGGAGAAATCTGTTGAGTTGACCTTACATGGTGGGGTCTATAGTATGTATGTTAGGGATAAGTACCATTACTGTTTAACTTGGACGGCATGCGATTTACAGTTTTGCTAAGTAAGCTCAGAGAAGGCAGATGCAAATGTTTTAGGTTATTCGCTCCTTCCATGATATTGACAACTACTTATCATTCCTGATTCCCACTAGCTATTGTTTTCACGTTTTAAGACAACCTAGTTTAGTGTACTAGGTTACCTAGTAATGAGGGCTGATGCTATTCTGTTTCAATAAAACTTATATAGCAGAAACCAGGCAACTTTCATTAAACTTCTTGTTGCTGGGATTATATTTTCAACCTGCTGGAATAGGACTCAGTAAGCTCAGATTTGAGGCACCTAACATATTCTATGGGAAGCTCCGCGTCACGAAACTCTCCTGCAAGCACACAGAGACAGTCTTGGTTGAATAGTTTGCGTATATTTCACATATATAGGGGAAACCCATCTCATGAAACCAAAATCTTAGCGGCTTCATCCAGGCAACTACAATGTAGAACTTGGTACGTACGAACGTACATCAGTCCGAGTTGTCATACCACATTAGCACGCAGATGCAATCATCAATTCAAATCACAATGGGAGATGTAGTAGAATTATTAGCGGTAATAGCAAAGATTTGCGTTCGAAGATATGATTCAGGATGTATGCTAAAATAAATCTAACAAAAGAAAGGTAAAGGTGACGAATTCAGATTTCGATTTGAGAGGACACGAAGAGTCGATACACCTGCGTCATTTCTTAGCGGCTTGTTAAGTATTGAATTCAAGTCCCAATATTGATGAAGTTCTAATACCAGCGGAGGCGAAAAACGAAGTTCCTAAGTTTTCTCTGGTATATTCTAGACACAAAGTATTAGTTCATTCTTCCATACATTCAATACAAGTTGTAGTAACATAGTATTAAAACAATAACAAATATCACATGCGAACCCAGTAACCGCATAGTACAGGTACCTTAATATGAAATTCATTGCTATGATATTTGTTTTATTAAACTAGTATTGAAACCTGATTGGTCCCTCTTGTCGGCCTTTTAACCTTGACTTACTATCTATCCAATCACAGACTTTTGTTAGTGCATTACGAATAGGCTGGAACTATACAGCAACTGCTCATATGCCTGACTGAAAGTCACGCTATCTACTTCGCCTAGTCTTTTGTCATGGTAAAGTATCATTGGTACATCTATATCTGGTTTAAGAGATATTCGAGGATAAGGTATTAGTGTATATACGTATCGTACTTGAATTCAGATTTACGTAACACACCAATACATCTGATAGAGTGATGGATTTCATTATGTTGATGAATAATCCAAGGGTTCATACTCACAAGTCAATGCTTGAAACCTATTGCCTCTTCCAAGTGTTTGTTCAACAAATACTCATCTCGAAGTTTACAGTAAATTTGAGTCTGATGTAATGATGAAGGATTATTGTTTGTTTACAGTAATCCAAACAAAGTTTTGGTTAACACATTTAGATTATTTTATATGATCCTTCTGTTTCGCTGTTACCATGCTGAACTGTTGGTCTCTTAAGACAGACTAACATAAAATTCATTCCCAGCTGAAATGATTTAATGTTAAGCTTTAATAGTTTCAATAACCGTTGAATTCGTTAGATTAGTATAAATTAACTACGCACTTGAGGTTGTTTTAATTTCCTGGTGTTGCAAATCTTCGCAAGACCGGGATACTTAATGTTTCGGAAGTCTAGTTTGTAATGGTAATTCATATAAATAGTAAAATTTGAATTTTTGGATTTGCTATTGGTCGATCACCTACATGTATAGACAAATAAAACTACTAGTCAATTCAGGCAGTTTTCATAGCCTCGCACTGGTCTATAACCGATAAATGACCTTGGAACATATCGATCGTTTTCTATTGACCGTTCGATCTGACTGTCTAACACTCATTCATACGGTTTAAGACCTAAAGTAATTTCGATTGGTCAATACTTTAACCTTGGAACGATTAAAATTTACCCAATAATTTTAGCTAGAGTATATGAGACGAGTGAAATTGATAACCAACAATTTAATTTCATGCAACTTATCTTTTGGTTTTTGATAAAAGTAGGCTATGACATAAACGGAGTTTTGTGTTCGGAAATAATCACTTGTTCATCCATTCGGACAATAATCAAGGTATATAAAGATATCAGTAAAGTATCGTATTAACTCATATTTTAGCCTAAGTCAAGCAGTCTTTAGTTGTTCTGGTTCATATTTCTGAATTTTTCTTTGAAATTTTAGCAACTGTACATTTTAGGTTTGTTTGTATTTTCAAGAATCATTTAAGAATATTTCAAAGATCTGATTTTAAATTTACCAGGTTGACTTTGAATATAACCTGGATAGATATCAGGAGTGTAATCGGTTGTAAGGTTATCTTCACCCATCTGAATTGTTATAGTGAAAATGAAAAGGATGGTGAGAAGTATCTCCGAATTTATAGAAGGCTAGATAAACAGTTACAAATTAGTTCTTTATCTATGAACTGTAGATTATGGGGATACAAGAATGACTCAGATATTGGTTGCATCTTCGCGAAGTTCACTACCCTACACGCTAGTTTTAGTGATGGACAACGGTTGCCTGAACTTTGTGGTGCGAAAGCAATCACCAGGATAACTTATAAGCCTTTCGTTAGAGCGTATTAATAAATTATCAGCGTAATCATATGATAGGAACGAATTAAATGTGATTTTAATCTAATCTGTACATTTCGAGAACACTTCACAGGTAGTGTGAAGAGAGTTTACATAAATCAGCGGTATTTCTCATCAGAAGTAATGAGACCCGTTAGGATATAACGGTTTTTATTCGGCTGGTTTATTAGTTTGTCAAGGTTGATTATTGCAGATGCATTGCCACATAATCTCATTAAACTGAGGGGAACTATATTCGAGTTAAAGGTTTCTTACTGAATTTTTCTGATATCTATGAATTGTTTTATAGAAAATTCGTCATCATCGATACAACCTTTATGAATAAAGGTACAATGGATTTAATGAGATAGAGCTATAAGTAGATAATGTGTGTAAATTATCTAAAGAATCCGTTATTTGTCTTAAGATGCATACATGAACCATCAGAGTTTATTGTGAACAAGGTGAACGGAGACAATATTCACTGATTTACGTTTTAGATAAATCTAGATAGGAAGAAGCATATATGTGATACATTTGAAACTGCTATTTTTTCAGTGCTAAATGTGCCACAAAGATTGACATGTACATACATAGCCGAAAAAAATTCGTATTTAGTTTCGTTATGACGAGATAATCAAGGAGAATGATAAACTAGGCAGTATGTTACAGTGAAGTTTCGTTCTCTGGGCTGGATGTTTTGGTTGTAGAGCTTTCATTGTTCTTCTGAACAACATCATCAGCGCAGACTTTAGGTAGATATGAATTATTCTAATGTCTCTATGTATGACCTGTAGCTTGTCCTGTTGACCTCAGTCCTGATTGGTTGTTACTGACCTTTAACCTGTTGTTGTCTACACCATTATTTTTGAATGTCTCCTCCTTTGGTCAGTCTCATGACCCCATATTTTTCTATTATTTTTCTGATTGGTTGACTAACTCGGTCAATGTTGATGTGTTTGTTGATTTACGATTGACTTGAGTGCCAAACTTCTAAAAATTTTCAAGTGTTCTTTGTACTCCCTCTATCCAGTATTTCAACAGAGTTCGAATCGAATACGTGTCCATAGCTGTCCGCATCTTTTGATATAAAGAAAGAAATGTCATGGTGTTTGATTGCTAGTTGATGTTTACGCAAATGAAGGTGTAGAAGCATTCCACTTTGTCTGATGTAGTGTTTTTCTCAGTTTGAATAGTTTATTTCGAAGACGAAGTTTGGTTTTTCCTCTTATGTCATTTTGTCCTTTGGTTTACATAGTATTTGGTTTGTGTGCAACATCTATTCCAAATGGCTTCAGTAATCGTAATGCAATTTCCGATTTGTCTTT